TAGCACGGCCAATCCACCCTAACCTGCACATCCCTGGGCACTATGGGGCAACTTAGCACGGCCAATCCACCCTAACCTGCACATCTTTGGACTGTGGGAGGAAACCCAAGCACCCAGAGGAAACCCACGCAGACACGGGGAGAATGTGCAAACTCCACACAGTCGCCGGAGGGTGGGATCGAACCCGGGTCCCTGTCACTGTGAGGCAGCAGCGCTAACCACTGAGTTAAACATCGCCCTGCTTCCCACATGACCAGTGTCCCCCTCGCACACAGGTGTGCATTCTGATCACCCTGCTGTTGCAGTGTCGGTTTGGGCCGTTGTACAGAGAGGGATGAGTTTGCTTTCAGACCAGTGGACGTGGACCTTTTACTGACGGGAAGACTGAGAATTCCTGGAAGTTGAGTTTAAGCTGCGTACGTGAGGTCATGAACAGCAGTCTGTGCTGACGCTTGCCATTCAGTGTGAGAAAGGGACCTGACCTTCCACTTCCCAATGACTACCGCTCCCCCGCCCCGTTCTGCCTAAGCGCCTCGGACAGCGAAATTCCTGCTGCTCTTGAGCAATCGGGTCTGCTCCCGGACTCCCCCCGCCCTGGGCGGTGGTGGTCAGTGTGTGTGAGTCAGTGCTGGGGGAGGGGAATGCCTCCCCTCCTGCCACCGACCACACCGTTCCCCCCGTGGGCTGCATGTCAGCTGTGACAAGCTGTGAGTACATGCTCTTTCCAGGGCCAAAGACCAGATGACGGGGATGTGGGAAGCCACAAGCTGTGTCACGAAAGTGTCTTGAGCCAGTACAGGCGCACACACGAGGGAACGCACACACGCTCTGAGCCATAGAACACACACAAGCAAGTCTTCGCAAGCTGCACTAGCACCACCCCCGCCCACCCAATCCCTCACCCTCCCCCACTCCTTTCCTCACTTCAGGGCATCCTAAGCCTCACAGCAAATGATAAATGTTACTACTTTGAAGTGCACTCCCTGTTCTAATGTAGGAAACACCACGGCCAGTTTTTCACACTGCAAGATCCCATGCACAGCGATGTGGGAATGACCCACATCATGTTTTCAGTGACTTTGGTTCAGGGATAAATACTGACCCCAGTTTAATGTCTCATTATATCTCTGGCAGTGCCCGCTCCGTCAGCGCTGACCCCGCGGCAGTGCCCGCTCCGTCAGCGCTGACCCCGCGGCAGTGCCCGCTCCCTCAGCACTGACCCCGCGGCAGTGCCCGCTCCCTCAGCACTGACCCCGCGACAGTGCCCGCTCCCTCAGCACTGACACTTGATGTCAGATGTGTGTTGAATGCTGCTGTGGGGATAAGCAGCCGTGTGCTCACAAACACTTGTGTGGGAATAGATTTGGAGAGAAGATAGTATTCAGTCCTGGGAAAATGGAATTAGCAGTTCCTGCTGATCAGACTCACTTGCCTTTCTGTGTCTCTGTCTAACGTTCCAGGTTCCGATGCTGGTGCCTGGCTTGACGTATCCCATCGTGACTTTTGTAGAGAGTCTGAGTGACAGGGGAGCCTCGGACACCATTAAGGTGAGGCCAGGAAGACAGCTTACCCACCGCACTCCCCCTCCCAACCCCCATCCCCCCCCATCCCCCCAAAAAAAAACCTGACCTTGGATTATCATGGGCCCTCAACTGCCCCGGACTCCGACTCCCTGATAAACCATCTCCAAGGAGCAGCAACATCTCTCACACAGTGTGTAACCAAGAGCCACTTCAGCAGAAACAAGGGACAAGAGACTAAAGGCTCAGTCACAGCGATCGGTTTTAGCAATGGTCTTAAAGGAGAAGTGGGAGAGAATTTCTAATCTCGGGACCCCAGGCAGCTGAAGGCACGGCCACACTGGTGCAGCGATACAAATCAAGGGGATGCTCGAGAGGCCAGGATTGGAGGGGGTGACAGAGATAGGGAGGGGGTGTAGGGGCCGGAGGGGGTGACAGAGATAGGGAGGGGTGTAGGGGCCGGAGGAGGGGCACCAGGTGGGCGATGTTTGGGTGGGCAGTCACCAACAGCAGCTGATGCCTGTTGATACCATCTCTCCGTTACAGGTGTTTGTCCTTGCCACGGGCCGGCGTGCTCCCATCCTGACTGCCCACATCCATATGCCTGTCAGCGAGGGACCAGTGCTGGCATGATGGTCGACCCCTGTGGAGCGGGCTCACAGCCTCTGGACTGACTGGATTAGCTCTCGTAGACCCATAGTTATACCTGCTGCTCCCCATTGACCAGCTGGAGATTTCAGCCTTCATCACAGTCTATCACAGGAAGGAAGAAAGATCCCGCCACCCAATGTCGGAGGGTTAGCGCTGAGGGAGCGCCGCACCGTCGGAGGGTCAGTGCTGAGGGAACGCCACTCTGTCGGAGGGTCAGCGCCGACGGAGCGGGCACTGTCGGAGGGTCAGCGCCTACGGAGCGGGCACTGTCGGAGGGTCAGCGCCGAGGGAGCGGGCACTGTCGGAGGGTCAGCGCTGAGGGAGCGCCACTCTGTCGGAGGGTCAGCGCCTATGGAGCGGGCACTGTCGGAGGGTCAGCGCCGAGGGAGCGGGCACTGTCGGAGGGTCAGCGCCTACGGAGCGGGCACTGTCGGAGGGTCAGCGCTGAGCGTCCTGACTGTGTGAGCTACCCATTAGCTTGGTGTAGATTAAATAGAGAATGCAGTGCTTGTTTAAGGGTGTGAAGAAATGTCGAATGTATCTGAGAATAAACCTGATTTTTGGAATAAACATGTCTCGTGCTGCTCTGTGATGTTACACCCTTAAGCGTCCTGCGTCATCCCTCTCAGTTTCTGTATTCACTGCACGTCAACTCTCAAACACTCACCCAATCAATCAGTGTCCCACCACGGTGTACCCGTCAGCGTGGCGTACCGTTTACCACGGTGTACCCGTCAGCGTGGCGTACCGTTCAGCGCCGTACCGGTCAGCGCGGCCTACCAGTTAGCGTGGAGCACTGGGCCGCGCACTGGTCAACTCTGAGTTGCCTAATTACTGGTGTTTCCTTAATTCTCAACATAGTGAACAGGAGGAGGCCATTCATCCCCCTCCTCCAGCCTGTCCCACCATTCACTTTGTTACCAGCTGACTTTTATGTAAACTGTTGACCCGCCTTACCCCTAACCTTTAACCCCCACCTCCTCACCCAGTGAAACACCATCTGTACCAGTGTCACATTGAGAATTGACCCTCTCGTGCCGCATCCCGTAGCCTCTCAGTGTTGTTTTCGGGGGGAGGGCGACTCCCAGATCCCACGACCCCGAGGGGTGAGGACATACCTCCAATCTGAAGGTTCTGCATCGTCTCTCCACCCCCACCAGGGGAATCACTCCGTCGCTCCCATCACATTCTTCAATCATGGTAAACCCCTCCGTTAGACAGCCCCTCAATCTGCCAAACAGGACACAATACTTCCTCCGATACAACAAGGTGTAGAGCTGGATGAACACAGCAGGCCAAGCAGCATCATAGGAGCAGAAAGGCTGACGTTTCGGGCCTAGACCCTTCTTCAGAAATGGGGGAGGGGAAGGGGATTCTGAAATAAATAGGGAGAGAGGGGGAGGCGGATAGAAGAGGGATAGAGGAGAGGATAGGTGGAGAGGAAACAAACAGGTTGAAGAGGCGGGGATGGGGCCAGTAAAGGTGAGTGTAGGTGGGGAGTTAGGAAGGGGATAGGTCAGTCCAGGGAGGACGGACAGGTCAAGGGGGCGGGATGAGGTTGGTTGGTAGGAGATGGAGGTGCGGCTTGAAGTGGGAGGAGGGGATAGGTGGGAGGAAGAACAGGTTAGGGAGGCAGGGACAAGCTGGACTGGTTTTGGGATGCGGTAGGGGGAGGGGAGATTTTGAAACTTGTGAAATCCACATTGATACCATTGGGCTGCAGGGTTCCCAAGCGGAATATGAGTTGCTGTTCCTGCAACCTTCGGGTGGCATCGTTGTGGCACTGCAGGAGGCCCAGGATGGACATGTCGCCTGAGGAATGGGAGGGGGAGTTGAAATGGTTAGCGACTGGGAGGTGCAGTCGTTTGCAGACTGTCGGAGGGTCAGCGCTGAGGGAGCGCTGCACTGTCGGAGGGTCAGCACTGAGGGAGCGCTGCACTGTCGGAGGG